TCGCTAAAACGATATGCTCCAACGCTGATCTCTTTCCGGAGACAGAGCTTGGTATCATATCCAGGACCGCTTCTAACCTAAACTATCCTTCGAACTACTGAAAACACATTTAGAGATGCTTACACCTCATCTCCGACTCGAAAATGTAGAAAATGTCTGAGGCTGCAAGCCGAAACTTTGTAATCAACACGCATACTATAGTGGATTAGTAGCAGTCCAGCACAGGCTTGAATACAAAAAGAGCAGTGTATGAAGTGGCGAAGCAGGCTACAACCAATTATTGTCGGTGTTGAGAGCAACGGGCTCACTCCACTTACGGCCCTTAGATAAATATCGTGCCTCAAAAGTATGGTCTCTGAATCAAGTAAGTGAGCACACACTCTACGGGGATCGTCTTCATTATCACTTGACAACAGACTGTTCGCGGCCAATAGACCACTGATATAACCTTACATTGATTAGAAACCAACAGCAGGTTTTCCTTATCGCACATACAATACCCAACGAGCCCGAAACAAATATCGGAAAAAATATTCAAGAGTGAAACTCCAGAAGTTATACCCGATCTCGCCTATGCAAGTCGCCATACCTTCAGTGAGAAACTGTGCAGACTGATCCACTAATAATTCAATATCACTACGGCGACTGATCCCCAAATACTACTTCGTGCTTGCGTTGATCTTTCACTTGAGATACAGTCGCAAAGTGTATATAATATGCAATCCAAATTTAACCGTAAATTTTTGCAATACATCCGTATTTTCAGGAAAACCATCTGAACCTTCAGTAAAGCAACCACACACCTGTCATCTTTACTGTGGTGTCTTTCACTGATCACTCCACCCAGTATGATATTACTGCTGAATAATGTAAGACAATAATAATAATAATAAAATAAAAAATAATTAATGTAAATTTAATTTAAATTGTAACACTATTTAACTATATATTAAACTCTCTTACTGGAGGGTGTGGCGAGGTTAACATCAATTTAGAACGTCACACTACTAGGGGGGAGGGATTATTTAATCCAAGGCTGGTTTTACAAAAATTATATAGGTTCTTAAATTTCACTGCAAGAAGTTAAAATTAACACTTACAATTACTTCTTGTTGTTTGTGATCCAATTCTTTGGTCGATACATCTAGCGACTGAAGTAAATTTGTAGATTGGATCTTCCTGGAATGAAACGGTGTTGTTGTTTAGGGATAATATCATTTTCAAATGCACGATCTAAAAGCCATCGAACAATTATCCTTTCCATGACTTTACTCATTGTGCTTGTCAAACTTTTTAGTCTGTAGTTTTTGGTAACTTTATGTCTCCTTTCTTGAAAACTGATACAATGACAGCTTTTTTCCAAGCAGAGGGGAACTTCCCTCATTCCAATGATTGTTTAAATGTTCTGTTCAGTAAAAGGGATGGTTGTAGTTTACAATTTTTCAAATACATGGCTGAAATACATCAGGGCCTGTGGATGAGCTTGTATTCAGTCTGCACATTATGTAGGCAGTTTTAATGTTTGACAATTCAATATTTGCAATAATTTTCTAATTCTTCAATAATCAGCAATGGGCCTTCTGATTCCACAGTATATACTTTTCCGAAATCTTCTGAAAAGCATTCCACGATTGCACATGGATCAGTTATCATAGAATCTTCATTCAGAACAATCATTGGAGGACCGGTTGTACAGTTAGTTAGTCCTTGTATAATGGAGAATAATCTTTTGACACCATCCTGAGCAATTTGTGTTTTTGTTTCACTGTCTCACTTTACAGGTGAGATTGTTTGACATGTTCCTATAGATGGTGTAACTTTCATCTGTTCCAGCTCTTCTATAACTTGGCCATGCTCGATGTTTGAGTCTGCTTTGTTTTATGATCTCATGATTAATCCAAGGTTAATTTAAATTTATTCCATTCTTGATATGTGGTGAGTATTTAAAAAACCCTTAATGTTTCACAAAAATTCTCATAGTTAGTTTCAACATTGTTGTTTTCAGCACCTTTGTTAATATCTCTAATTCGTAATGTAGGGAGTTCAGTAAAGTGTCTCATTAGTGTTACGTAGTCTGCTTGAAAGAAATTACGTTTAGAGATGAATTTTTAAGGAACACTATTATTTATGGATAATTCTACTTGTAGGGATGTCATAATCATCAAGTGATCAATTTGACCAATATTTCGCCTTATATTAGGGGGTGTAATGAAGTCTTCATCATTAGTTCACACTAAGTTAAGAATTGCAGGAATTTAGATTTACTCTATCTAGTAGGCTCAAATACCATCTGAGTGAGATTTAAGTCTATATAGTGTTTAATAAATTCTCTTTTAATTTCTAAGTGTGGAATAGCTGCACGTTTGGTCCATGTAATTGTGGGAAAATTGAAATCTCCAAAAATAATAACCAGTATCTTCAGGTCGCATACCATAGACATTTTCTCAAATAGTTTGAAATCTGATTGCCAATGTCTCGTGTCAGGTGTTGGTGGTCTTGGATATTCCCCATACAGCATAGTATATTTCCATATTATTTTTTCAACCAGAGTGCTTCCACATCAGGGTCTTTTATTTCATACATATTTGACACTTTCACAGTCGTACTTTCAATTTTTTGTTTCACATACATTACTACTCCCCCTCCTTGCCAGTCCTGCCTGTCTCGGCAATATATTTGAAAGCCAGGTACATGTATTAAAAAGTAAAGAATATTCAAGTTGAGCAATGATTCAGTAATTACTATTACATCTAGTTGCACAGTGTTGACTTCTATCAGAAATAGGTGAAACTTCAGGAGGAGGGCAGCGATGTTGGTGAACATAATTTTTGTATTTGTGTCAAAGTTGCTTGTTACTGCCTTTTCTCGTTTCCCTCCCTGTCTACAATTCACGGAACACCTCTAATGTATTTAATGACAAGTTTTGGGTTTCATTCTTGTCTGCTTTTTAGTTCTGCACTAAGATCTTTGAATTCAGATCTCTGCATTGGGGTTAGATAGTTTCTAGCTTTAATTCCATGTGGAAATTTCTTCTGTTTTTTAAGAAACAGTTTTCAGTAACAGATTTTCTCAAAATTATTTTGACAGGTCTTGGTCTAGAATTCTCATCCTCGAAGTTCGGTTTTCCCAATCTAATTGCATATTCAATATTATGCTCAGCTTCTATATCCAGTTTTTTCAATATTTTCTTAACAACAATTAGATCTTCAGATTTTCGAGTTTCATCATCCGTTCTTGATTCCTGTACCCGATAAAGAATTCCTTTCCTCTTGCGTAACCCATGCTCCTCAATCTCTCTGATGAGCCCAGAGTAAGTTTTGGAATTTGCCCTACGAGTCTTAATATTTTGGAGTTCCAATGATATTTCGTTTACTCACTTACATACTGCATTAGCAATTTTGTTGACATCATTCTTGATACTTGTCATATCCTCCTTTTGGTTACTAGTGAGTTTGTCTTCAAGATTAACGAGCTTATCAGTCAACTCCTTAGTAGTTTTTTTATAACTCTCCTTTAAGGATTTTCACCAGCTCTCAATTTGTAGCCATCTCTGTTGGATGTGCAGCAATGAAATATTTTCACGTCAGGTTTCCCGCTTACCCTATATCTACAACTAGAGTGATACATTGCTTGGCACATCACACAAGTTAAAATAACCTTGTACACAGTTTTGTTGCAATATTTGCATATATTCATTCAATTCTATTATTAAACACTATAGTATCCAAGTATATCAATTACAGTAATTTATAATACATTTTCCTTGAACTACGGCCAAAATCATGTAAGAAGTTGGATTTCATCTCAACGAGACACACTTCCAATAATGTTAAAGTGATTAGCACTAAAATTTTGTCAAGATAGTTTCACAACAACAGCGAATAATACAATATTAGCATCCTAAATTACATTCGTTAAATCGCCAATGGAGACAATAAAAAGAAGAGGACCTAGCTAAGAGCTCTGCGGTACTTTTGAAGGGGTTGGGAAACAAATTGATGTGATTTGTCTAATCTGCACAAATTGGTAACGGTCACACCACTCGAACACAGAAAAGAAAAATCCCTTGAAGTGATGAAGACCTTGTTAACAAAGCAATGAACACGGCAGTCAAATGAATTTAAATTAAATTTAATTAAAAGTGGTGTGTAATCATGATACAACACTCAGATTCCTAATCATGATAGGACACTCAGATTCCGAAATTTTGAAAATACTATATCCTGGCTAACCTTATCGGATGCCTTGTTGAAATCCATGTAGACTATGACCACCTGCACAGTCCTTCCCAACTGTTCTTCAATATTGTCATGGATTGTCAGTGACCTTTTCAATGGAGTGTGGAGGCACATTACAGGGGACTATTCGGGATTTTATGGTAATAAGAGAACACAGGGAATGGGTTTATGTAATGTGCCCCGAGTCCTCCAAGCCACTTGGCCCCTCTGTGCACCACCAGAACACAACACAAATGAGGCATTTCAGCCGTTCTGGAGAAGTGAGCTACTGCTTTCTTTCCCAAGAAGGAAGTGCTAAACCACTATCAACTGGCTCTGCAGTTACCGTTTCCTTGAAGCGTCCCGTTCACACCCTCAGGCACGGGTCAGCACAAACCTCTCTACGTTTAGGCCACCCACTCCCGCCACAGCTCGCCATGCTCAACAAACATGTTGCATACACATGTTTACAGCACCGAGCATACAGAGAAGGCCAAACAAGGTAAGGAGTGAGGGTGAGGAGAATGGAACATGAAAATAAAACGACGATGCACGAAAGCCTTCTTTGCATCCTCTCATCAGGACAGAGTCATGTATTTTGACAATGTAATAGTTTCTAGTAAATTATGCAATACTACCCCACCAGAGAAAGGCACATCTAAAACTCTAAGGTCAACGGATAAATGGGTTTTATGTATGTGATATAGATTTAATTTTTATTTAACAGAACATACATTCTTTACTAAGCCCTAGGAACATTGAATCTTCTTAGAGCACACTCACCTTATCATTGGGATTTGGGAAATGCCTGCGCAAGCGTCCCAGTCGTGACCAGTTTGGTATTTTGTGATTTAGCAACCGTTGAAGCAGAACTTCCAAGTCAAAACCAAGAATGTCATGCCCTACAATGAAGTCAGGATCCAAACGCTGTACTTTCGCCAGGAGGTTGTTCAGAAGTGCTCGCTCTGAATCCATTCGTTCCACATAAACTCCATCTTGCTGTTTTATGCACTCTCGAATATCATAAGGAAAAGGTTGATCACACAATGGTGCCAATACTGTGTAAAAAAAGCAAAATCACTTAGTAGATGGCTAATACAATAATGTAAATGAATTCAACATAATTTGTTTATTAAAAAATCCACTGTTTTATGGATTCAGTTATATTGAATATAATACTTATTACTAATTTTATTGATAGAAAGAGGATCATAACATATCTATTACTAATTTTATACGCATCCAGAAATTGAGAGAAAATGAAGTTGCTTACGGCCATGTGAGAGGGTCCATTAAATCACTACATACCCAAAGTCTTCAGAAAAATTGAATAAAAGATGTGTACAAAAAGAATAAAACAGTTTCAAATTTGTCTAAAAAATGCAAATATTTGAGTTGTTATTCTGTCTTTTCTCAAACTGGGTTTACTAAAGAATTCTCTTAGTCATGAAACAGCATGGCTCCAAGAAAAAGTGGATAAATCCTGTTCTAATATGTAGTAAATTACTACATATGTATGTAAGAAACTCGCAAAAGACTCGAGTTTGTTCAGATCAATCGAGGAATATCAATTTTGGAGAATATCGGCAGGCGGTTTAGATGCTCACGTTGACCACAAACGGGCAAACAGACATTTTCAGCCCGAAAAACACAGTCAATTGATTTTGAGATTTTAAGGATCCATAAAACAGGGATTCAGGCTACACCATGTGTTAGAGGAAGTAAATTACTATATATAGGAATATGATTTATCCTCTTCTTCATTACCAGAGCATATCAATGGGAGATTTTCTGAAGAAAATCTTTGATTCCAGTGCATGCTTTTACTTTTTCTTACAAAAGGTGAGAAAGTGAAAACAGAGTAACCATTGCAGTAAATAATGAAAGTACTCGCCTAGCCTATCGTTTTTCAACTTTCCGTGCCAAAATTACTTTACTAATAACATATGAACAAATGGTCCGATTCTGTAACTGTATAAAGCTTGTTTTTAATATAGGAGTTTAGGAGTTTATGCTGTGTAGACCCGCACCAATCTACCAAAGGCTAGATGGGTTTCCCAACCAAATATTTCCCACCAGTGAGACCCCCCTGAGCCGGGACAAGCTCTAAGCTCCCGACCAATGTCCTGTCATGTGTGGTATTGTAGTACATGTAAATAAGTATGTGTAAGGGGGGTGAGGATAGGACAAGGAAGAGGTAGGAAAGATCACACACGGTCCGTGGGGACCGTTGATCATAGAAACCACGGGAAACTACCACTGAAAGTAGCCGGGCAAAATCAACGTGTTTTTTCAAAAAATTTTACTTGACCTTTTTGAAAGAGCTGATTTTTTACAAAAGATTTTGTTTAAAGAAAAAATTACAATTTCCAATTTTGTAGTTTTGAAATGGTAACTTTTAGTAATTTACGAAAAAAACGAGAGTTGGGGGAAAATGGGATAACAGCATATTTTTTACTGTCCCTTATTATAAACAAGGAAAGAAAAAGAAGAAGTATAAGAAGAAGAAAAGAAGAAAGAAAACGAAGGAATAAAAGAAGAAGGAAGAAGAAAGAAGGAAGAAGAAGAAAGAAAAGAAAAAAAGAGCAGTGTTTGAAAGAAAGAAAAAAACCCTATATTTGTCGCAAAATTATCAAAAACTTCTCATATATTCGTAAAATTGAACAGGAACTTATTTAAAGATCCATCTTTAGGGAATAGATTTCATTAAGGAAAATATTATAGAAGTAGGAAGACGCCTCTTAAAAAATTGAAAATTTCAACAAACACAAAACCATTTTTGGAAGCGTTTTTTACACTATCCAAAGACAAAGTTTGATCTAAAAATTTGGCACCGTTTTTGAGAAAATTCCAATGTTTTTGAGACTTCATGAGTAAAAATTAAAATAAAAATAACTGTTTCACACTCCAAAGCCTAAGAGTTCATTCACATTGATTGGAGAATATAAATTTTGAAGAAAATAGGCTGAACGATTTAAGTGCTAAGAGTTGTCCACAGACAGACAAACAAACAGACAGACGTTTTGCCATCAATCAATTTTTCAGAATGAAGTACCTACAAAGCATGGATTCTGGCTACACCACACTAAAAAAAAATTATTTTTTTTAATTTAGCAAATAGGATTTGCCCACTTTCTCACTACCAGGGCCCTGCAAAAATTCAGTTTTCCGGTACACCATTACATAACTTTTTTTCCTTAAGAAGTACTTTGTAAAGTGAGAAAGTAAAAATTGAATTTTGGAAGCACTTATGTGAAGAATTGAATTAATGCCTTATTTTACGTGGTGAGACTCAAGCCATTAGGCCTGCTCTTCCGTCTGACCATGCAAATTTCTCTACGCTCCTTTCACCAACTAGCAGAGAAAGGAGGTATTTCTTGGGTGAGAAACCGGCTATTTTGAATTGAGCTCAGAGGCGTCATTTAGGCTTGAGGATCTTTTACATGCAAGTAAATCTACTAACATGGGACAGCCGGCTTTACTTCCTCTCCAAAGGATTTCTTCGCCCTTAAAAATCCACGGCTTTGATCAGGTTTGAACCCGCCAACTTGGGTACAACAGTCTGAAACGCTAACCGTTACACCATCGCCGCCGCATGAAGATCCCAGGAGGTTTTTGAAATTTTCTCAAAAACATTCAAATTTTTTTCTTTAAATTTCTTATAGTGCAGAGAATGGCAATCCACAATGAAGGGTTAACCAAATTTGATTACTTTTTAAAGCAACAACTGGAAAGTTCCTATGCAAGAGAGAGGTCTTGAGTACCTTGCGAAGAGAATTAGCATGCACATCACAGGAGTTTACATACTGCAGAAATGTTGGCTATACTGTTTATTCGCAGGAGGCTCGTGGTTCAAAGGGAAGTCACGATTCACTAATCCCACAACCAATCCCACTTCATTGTTGTTGTTCTTGGAATTCACAACACTTCTTATTTGAAGTGCCAACAAAACAACTGGTGGTGGGGAGAGTTTTTGTGCAGATGTTGCAACTGAAACCATCTCCATTTTCTCCACAGACATCTGGAAAAATCAACAAACATTTGGTACTTATTAGTATATTTAATTTTGATCTAACTCTTGCAAATGTAATTAAAAATGTATTATTTTCAAAGGTGAGTATTTTTTATTGCTGATCTTTCATTTCCTTGAATTTTTAATTTCTGGTGTAGCCAAATGTCCTAGCACCTGAAAATTATTTGTACTAAATACTTTTGACTTTTGCTTTGAAGTCTTAAAGTCAAAATCCAAACAATTCACTCTTGAAAACTATTTTCCAATCATTGATAGTTATATTCATTATTTTATTTCACTTACCTCCACTTTACACCAACTGAGACTGTTGTTTACGGTTTGTGCTTCTTCACATCCAACCAGCAGGGACCTTTAATGTGTCTTTCTATAAGGAATCGCTCTAACTGCTAGTGCTCGAGCAAGACATGACTGAACGTATTGCCTTTCAAGTCCTCAGGGAGTATTTTACAATGTGCCTGAAACAAATACACTTTTTTTTAATTTATTTATTTATTTTTATTTAATGCAATACTGATCAGTTGAAAATCATTACATTCCCTGGTAATAGCACAGACCACTAACACATTGTTTGCAAATGTACTTCAGAAACACTTCTTCTCCTGACCAATATACATTGTGCCATAATGATAATGAGAATGATTTACAGGCACTACAACTTTTGCACAAATATAGGTATTACCCCTGCCACAACGATGAGAGGTTGAGAGGGAAGAAAGAAAGACGAGATAGGAGGGACGAGGGGAGGGAAGTGGAAAGGAGGGCGAGAGGAATGGTCAGAGGGGGGGGGGAGAGGAGGAAAGGAGAAGGAATAATGAGGATGAGAAAAGCAGAAGAGGGTTGGAGAGGAGGAAAGGAGGGAAGAGAAGAAAATGACAAGTAGTAAGAGGTGAGGAAAGGAGTAAAGTGGAAAGGTGGAGAAAGAAATGAGACAATAAGAAGGGAAGAAAGGAGAAAGAAAGCACAACAGAAGAGACAATGTCATTTATGAAGACAGTAATGTATCGCAACAAAATATTCTAGCTATTCTGCCATTGTCCCAACAATTGATCGCTACCTATTTTTATCAGTAAACTTAAAATGGATTACCTGTGATTCACTTATAATTTTGTCACCAGATACTTTGTGCATGGAATTTTATTCACTATCCATTAAAAGCCTATCCATTAGAAGCCTTTTGATACCACATAAACAAAATTTGAAATCTGTACAAAAATATTCCATTTTTATTTTGCATCCTATTTAGGGAACAATGGTAGATAGTGGTTAAAAGACGAAGAAAAATATGTAAAAAATACTAAACAATATTCTATCGCATTATATATAACAATGAAAGAGTGTCTGGTGAATACTCCTAATATTTCATATTTACAAAGCATTAGGGTACTCCAATTAGACCAATCCTCTTCTTTCAAATTGGAACATAAATTCCATTTTCTCCACTGGATCCCTAATGTTAACATACAAAATTTAAAATACTCTGTACTAAATGTACTGTACAACAATTTAATATGATAAACAATTGATTGTTTTATCTTATAAAACATACTGATCTTTCTTGTACAGTCTAGATTCATTAGAGAACATGTTGCCTTTCAATATAATGTCACAAATAAATTCTATATGTATAATTCCACATTTAATCATATACAGCTAATGTTGGTGATATAACTTTTTTTACGATACTGTATCTATATACCATAAATGGTTTATAAATAATGTACTTAATTATAATTGAACATAGTATCTGTTGTGCATTTAAATTGCTAGTAAAGCTTATATTCTCTTTAAAAGTATTTTTTATAACAGACACCAGTCCATTAAATGAAATTAATTAATAGCCAATAATTTTTGTACTTCGGATAATCCTTTCATTTCTCTCCTCAAATTTACTTACCGAATATTTGACTTCCATATATTCAGAAGTAACCGGAATTTCTGGGTTGAAGCAGTTGTTCAATTCCACCTTTCGAGACCTGAATTCCATTATGCCATATTTGGAAGCCACATTGCTAAACTCCTTGTAAACATCGAGAAAAGTAACATCCTTCTCAATACTGTCTACTGTCATCTACAACATATAAATTATGGTAAAAAATTAGTAGAAGCATATTCTGGGAAACTGCAATAACAATCTTATACTTCATATTCCCTAACTTGTTCATCCACTAGCCATAACCCCAAATGAGTATTTATTACATTTTTTCCAAAAAAGAACTATATATTCTTTGTTTTGTATAGATTTACTTCTAAAGATGATTACCATTAAATAAAGTGCTCTATGCATTACTTGTCCAAGAAGATTTATAAACATTTTCTTAAATATAAAGATCTGAAACTAGTGATGATGAACAAAGTACAGTGAAATCTCCTTATAAACTACATCATAAACTCATTTTATTTATTCTTTATACTGAAAAGTACTTTATATTGAAAACACAGTTTTAACTAATTTACTTTAAAAAGTTTGCCCAATAAACAAAAATAATGGAAAAAAGTCGATGCAGTATCCACTGATGGAAATTCGGTTTTGTCTTTTTGAGAAAGTTGCTTTCTACAAACTGTTCTACATCAAATACCGATTTGAGAACTGTCTCTGGAATGTTTATATTTTTCTGAGCATACACTTTTAACTTCTCAAGACAGCTTTTCACTGCCTCTGCTCAAGATACTGCTTAAATCTTTTCTTCTACTTTTTTCTCTTTCTCTTTATTATTTTCTTGTGACACAAGCAAAGATTTCACAATGCCACTCTTTGTAAGGCAGTAATTTGTTTCAGTCCCAGCATCAATATAGACATAATCATCAAATGTAACAGTTGATGGAAGCTCTAACTCCTTTGCCATTTGTTCCCATACCTTATAATGATCTTCACAAGCCTCAACCTCTGGTCTTCGACATTCTGACTTTCTCCAACAATTGGCAATTGTTGCTGCGTTCACATTCCACCAACCCTCTGCTAACAATTGAATCCCTTGCAGGATGTTTATTTTGGTTGCAACTTTCAATGTAAGATTGATTAGAATCTGGTGAACCAGTCGTTTACGATAGAAGACCTTTGCATTATGAATATTTCCCTGGTCTAGTGGCTGCTGTACAGGTGGAAAACATCCAAAAGCAAGATTAACAGCATTATTTTCAGACAGAATTTAATTATTTATGTACAGAAGTGCAGTTGGGAGGGAGGAATTCAATATTTATATTTTCCAACCTGTAGTTTACTTCACGAGCAGAGCAATTACCTATTGTCAACAGGATTTTTCTTCTGTTTTCCAATATCTCTGTCCAGCTCAAGAAGCCAGTCTGCAAACGGTTCTTTGGTCAACCATGCTTTCTTATTGGCTGCCTATTTGACTGGCAGAGATGCCACACCTTTAAAACATCAAGGCAATGTCCTACTAGGAGAGGCTTCAAGTTTTTCAGTACCAGTGACGATGCAACAAAATAATGCTGTTAATCTTGCTTTTGGATGTTTTCCACCTACACACTTTTCTCCCTTGTAAGACATTGTTTTATTCGGCAATATATAAAAATGCATCTGCATTGAAAATATCTTTAGAATAACACTTTTCAATTACATTTTTCAGATGATGTTCCTTCTGCTCTCGAGCAGTGTTCATGTCAGCGTTTGTGACCCCATCAACATCCTTCAAGTTATGTCATATTGCTCACGAAATCGGAACCACCAGACAGTACTTGCCTGAAAATTCTTAACATCCATTAGTGTTGCAAATTGTTTTGCTTTTTCTTGTATCATTGGTCCAGAAACTGGAAGTCCACCACACCTAACTTCCTTGAACTATGTGTCTTTCCTTTGATGAAAATCCCCTAAACGAATCTTCTTTCAGTCGATGTATATTGCTGATTGTTCATACATTTTTAGAATTTTTTCTCTGCTTTTTAAAATTGTTGAAACTGAAGTTGGCTTCATATCATCCACATGTGCTACATCGATCTGCTTCATTCCGCTATCTATTTTTTTTTAAATCTCCGCTTTCTGTTTTACTGTTTTCTTTTGTTACTTTCCATTGTTACCAATCGGGCCGTCATTTGTATGAATACCACTACTAATCATCACAAAACGCACTATACTGTTTGTAACCCAATCAGGTGTAATCAGGGAAAAGAGACATTGTGCAAACAAGAAATCCACCCCAGACATGCATGCATGCACATGTGCAAACATTATGCTAATTATCAGTACTCAGATTCTGAAAACCTAAAAATTCTTTGAAAAGGACCTATAAAAAGACTTCAAAAGAAGAGGAAAATGACCTAAAAAACTTGAAAATAAAGGGAAACCGACCTTATCTTGATAAAAATACTTAAAAATTCGAATGGAAATATTTACTTTCTGAATTTTACAATTTTAAGTAAAATTTATTAATGTAAAATTATGTTTAATATGAAGTCATCATTTTAGGGGGAAATGTAATCCTTAGCCCCAATCTTCCAACCGTCCATTTGGAAAGGGCAAGGAAGTTACCAAAGATTCATGTTATTTTCAGAGTTTGAAAAACAGAGTCCATTAAAGTTAGTCATTGACTGCTGATACAATAAAAAGTTTAGTTTTAGTGCGTCATTGTAAATTCATGAAACTTTCACTAACAAAAAACACAGAAAGGGGGAAAACGTGTGAAAATGACAGAAATGACGCTAAGGTCCAAGAATATGATCTAAAAATTGAAAATGGCAAAAATGACCCAATAACTATGCATTTCTATCACCCCTGTTGTGATAATATTACATGTTAGCTACGTCTCCAAGGCACCAATGAAAAGATGGCATGTCATTAATATCCAAGACCAGAAAATTATACTGAAATAAGAACTTACTTTTTCTCTGGGAAGAACAAGAATTTTGCGTTCCACGTTGCGCACAGCCACACAACAGCTGACATACTCTTTTGCACTCTCAATCCATACTTTACCAAACAAGAAAATCACACCAGGCTGTTTCAAGGGTTCCTCATGAGCATCCAGCCAGAAAAAACGCATCATCTGTAATAATTAAATAAAATGTATTTAATTGTTCAAGGACAATTTGTCCGATTTGTAAACACAAACTAATTTTATATGTAAGCACTCAATATCACAGTATAGTACATTACACATGAAGAAAAATTAGAAATTAAAAGGGACCTATAAAAGCATAAAAATATAATAAATACAATATCAGATCAGCAGTAGGGGTCAAAATGTCACCAACAGCAGTTTTTCAATACAAAATTCAGTTGTTTGTTTTTTTTGTGTTTTCTTTCAAACGTGAATTTTCCTCATGTTTTATTCTCTTTATGATCAAAGTTGGATTCTAAAAAAAATTACCTTTTTATTGTTTTATCATGTGATATCTCTAGAACAGCAAGAGGGTCATTTTGACACCCACACTATTTCATTCATAAAACTACTTTATTCTAAACTTGATCGGTGTTGGTAAATGATCTTTGGTCTTGCTTATGGGGGCCAAAGTACATAATGCGAAGAAGCAGTTTTCTTGAGCTCCTCAGATTTCTCAGTTTTGATGACAAATCAAGCCAAGCTAAACACCTTGGTGTTGATAAGTTTGCTCCAGAAATGTGAGAGACATTTGTAGAAAAACTGCATTTGTTGCTATGGCTCAGGTGTAAATGTAACAATCGATGAGTAATTACTTTCAAGCAAAACTAGGTGCAGATATACCCATTTTATGCCTAATATGGATTGATATTTTGGGTCGCAGCTGATATCAACGAAGTACTTATGCAATGCCTTTCCCTATCTTGGCAAAGATGCTATACCACATAAACAACCATTGGGTAAATTTGTTGTTCTGCATCTTATGGAGCCATTTCTAAAATGGGGTAAACTTAGAAGACCAAATGAATCGCCAAAGCAGCATGCAGGAGAAGGTTTATGCATGTTTTCTATAATATAATGGACATGGCGACAATCAATGCTTGGATTATCTACAATTATGTAACAAATGAAAAGATGAAAAGGAAGAAGTTCATTCTTCAACTCTCTGAACTGAAGAAGAGGATTTGTCAGAAGATGTACCCAAAGGAGAAGAACACTGTAGTGCTGGTGCCAGCCAAAAAGCAACAGGAGTGCCAGATCGGCTTATGCAAAACTTATCAAAAATAATATTTTGTGTGAGAAGTGCCATAAAGCAGTTTGTGGAAATGTACCAAAAAAGTGAAAATCAGTAGCAAAGAATGCATTTAGATGATTAACATTTTTTTGGATGCAAGAAAAATACGCTTACCAAAAGAAAGCTCTATTTTGAAAAACAAATCGAATTTCAACATCTGGTATTCATGGTGGCAAAAATACCCTTTCCGCTTTTGATTTGCTTTATTAATTATGTAATTTATGCGTTTGTCGAATTTCAATGATTCATCAAAAAATACATGGAAGTCTTTGTATTATTTTACTATGTTCATGTGCAGTTCTTGGTATATATTGAATTGATCCCTTATTTTGTGGTGAGACTCAGACCATGAGACCTCCTCTTCCATCTGACCACGTAAATTTCAAAGTTGCCCACTGCATGAAAAAAAGCAGTCATTGTACCAGTTTTCACGAAAGGCGACAAAAAGTTACAAAAAACTACAGACCAATAAGTTTGACAAGCACAGTGAGTAGTCATGGAAAGGATAATCGTTTGACAGCTTTTAGATCATGCACTTGAAAATGATATTATTCCTAAACAACAACACGGTTTCATTCCACGAAGATCCACATCTACAAATTTACTTAAGTTGCTAGATGTATGGACCAAAGAATTGGATCACAAACAACCAGTTGACGTCATTTATCTAGATTATGCTAAAGCTTTCGATTAAGTACCGCATAAATGTCTTATTCACCAACTCTCATCTTTGGGTATACGCGGTAAACTACTGAGGTGGATTCAGGGATATTTATGACGCAGAACATTTCAGGTGGCAATTGGAAACACACTGTCGATACCTTGTGACGGTACAAGTTGTGTTCCCTGAGGTTCAATTCTAGGGCCAATACATTTCGATCTATACAAATGTGACCGAGGAGATGATCTGTCTTAAACTTGGAACTGTTATGCAGATGACAAGAAACTTTTCTCAAATCCACTAAAAAACCATCAGATGACACAAAATGACCTCAACAAAGTGGTGAGATGGTCAGCCTTGGTTGCTGGAATAAATGTAACTATCTTAAATAAATGTACAGCTCTCCATCTAGGAAAAAATAACCCAAATCTTAATTATAGCATTGTAAGTTACATCCTCAATTGTACGATAGAAAAAAATGATCTGTGTTTTTTTTCACTTGAAATTTGAAATGGGATAGCCTAGTAGCTGATGTTTCCAAAAGAGTCAATAAACTATTATACCTGCTCAGAAAGGCTTCCTCTACATTGCGTCCATCTACTGTAAAACTGATGTATATGATGCATATTATAGATCTAAACTTGAGTATGCTAATGTGGTTTGGTCCCCTTATTATCAAAAAATAAAAACATTGAAAAGTGCAAAGACAGATTACCAAGATTCCTAGAAAAATACGTCCGAGTAGTGATTCTATGGAATTCACTTCTGCACACTGTATACAAAAGAAAACCCTGAACACAGTCAAGGACTGTCTGAATACTCAAAATTTTGTGGTAATTTAAATGATAATATGTATATATTTGTTTGTGTGTGCCCCTGTGTGTGTGTCTGTACCTGTGTGTGTACATGTGTGTCAGTGTTTGTGCCTGTGTGTGTGCGTGTGTGTCAGTGGGTGCCTGTGTTTGTGGGTCTGTGTGTGCGCATGCGTGTATACCTGGTGATATACATGTACTATCTGGGATTTATAATTGTGATTTAATTATAACATTGTTACTCTATGAAAGTGATTTATTATAGAACTTTAATACACCATTTGTAAGATATGTGTACAAAAGCTTGTTGCTGCCACCATTAATAAATAAATAATAATAAATAATAAAATGCTCTTAAAAAACCTCTTAAAACAAAGAAAAAAGACTGACGACGAAGAAAATTGATCAAAAAAGACAACAACAAAAAATTGATCAAAACCACATCTAATGAACGACTCAACCTGTTGGGTATGATACACTTGGAATCAAGACTTCTTCATTTTGTTGAATTGAACTCAGTTTGCAAACTTTCGGTTTAGACTGTTCTTTAAAAGAAAATGCCTTTATTATCAAGAAATCAGGCAAACTGATAATCGCACTTATAGGCATCACAGGAACCTTAGATTATATAGAACTCACAACCGCTGACATTATAATATATGAGCGAAGAAATTGAATAGGCCACTTAGGTATTCTGTGGTGAACATTTGTTGCACCTCGTAATTATTGTTTGAAGCAAGTCCCATTAAAATGATATTAAAATCAATGAAATCAGTGAAAATTGCATTAAAATTGAGGTAAAAAGATGAAAAATGACTTTTTAGCCAAAATTGACAAAAAAAATGCAAAAAAAAAAGTTACTTATAAAAATACGTAATTTTGTTTTGTCAACATAAAATGAATTTCTACACTAAACAGCATTGTTCTGAAGTGAAAAGAAAAAACATGACGTGCCCCCTAGTAATAACCATTAGAGGTATTCTCACAATAACCAAATTTATTCAATATCACTTCAAAATTCACGCAAAAACTTAAAAACATTTATATTAAAATAATTGATTATAAAACAAGAATCATTTGATGATAAATCATATGCATGCTTTTTTCATTGGTATTGAAAAGGTCTTTGACAATGAGGTATGAGTTATTTTCAAAAACATTAAAAATAGAAACTCACCTGATTACCTTCCGCACTTTTTACAAAAGGAAGATTATTAATATCCACTGTTATGTTTTCTGTGGTAAGAGGTTTACTGCTTAGAACATTAATGTCGTTTGCTGGAATATTTTCTTTATTCTTAGGTGCATCAATAATGAATTTTTCTTCAGAAGTTACCTCTGCCACATTGTGGTTTAATTGAGGATTCTTGTGAAGTGCCTCACAATCAGCATTATCTAGTTGCTAAGAATAAAAAAACATTACTGATAAGATATGTTAACCCATCAACAGCCAACAGAACTATAAGGACAGCAAGCATATGAATTTTTACAAGACATATTTTACGAAGGATTTGCATATTATACGAAAGGACTTTAAGAATGTTGACTATGCATCGCTTTATTTTATAGTTTGTAATATATAGAATATTGCCTGTAATTAACAACGAATAAAATAGAGCACTTCACTGAATTGCAGTGCTGCCTTTGAAAATTAATATCTGTTGATATATCTCAACAACACAGTTTATATATTACAGGACACGACAAAAAATAAGAGTATGAGACCTTATAACCTTTTTAAATTAAAGAAATTAAGTTTCTTGAAAATAAAAGTGATTCTCAATATTTTCTCTAGAAAGCAATTTAATTAACTTTTTTTTTCTTTTTTCTTTTTTCTGATTTCCTATTTTCATGAGCCACATACAAAAGTTCACATGAATCATACTGATGTGACCTTACCTCAGATACATCAGGGAAGTCTTCATTAAACATTGCTTCACACAGATCGTTCTCTGCATCCACACCCTCCTTCTCCTATAAAAATTTAAATGTTTCAGTAAACAAGGCTCTAATAGTTTTTATGTATCTAGGGTGTTAAGTAGATGTTTTTGCCGCAAAGACAATTTCCAAACCCAAGGGTCTCCGGACCAAGGAGTTGCCCTACGAACAAAATCATCAAGTAATGTCCACAATGCATATAAATATGCAAGTAAGTGGTCCATGGTGCATATGCAAATAAGAATTCAAAACATATATAACTTTTCTAGCATATAAAGTGAAAAGACACATTGTAATTGTCATTTGTCAATATGACATCAGATAAACCAAACAGAACGTGTATGTAATTACTACTGCATACTTGTTGTTGGACTGATTTGTTCGTAGAAAGTGAAAGAATATTGTGAAGTTCCTCTGGAAATTCTAGCAAGAACTAATAAAGCTACGAACATTGGTTTCCAGTACAATCTCGATAAAGGAATATGGAAATGATTACCATGTATTTGAAAGGTATATAGAAAATAACAGTGAATTGCACTGATGAAATTGTATTTTTAGGTTATTGTCCTCTATCGCTGAAAGTAATTTAGAATATTTCATAACTTCAAAAAAAAATTCTGAGGATGTTAGTCGATGAACCTTAGCCATCTTAGTACTACTAGTAGTACTGCTACCTTAGAAGCACATAGAATATCTCTTTAAAAAATGATGATACATAACAGTAAAATATGAGTCTGATGGCAATAATAAATTCATGGGAATATTCCAAAATTAACATTTTCATATCAATTAACAAAAATATGGTTTATAAAAAGGTATTTTATTTTTTGAGCACTATGCTATTTATTTATTGTATTTGCTTGTATCTCAACTTTAAGAAATTGAATTCATAAAAATGTTTGTGTTGTGTTGTGTTGTGTTGGTATTAGTGTGGGCCATAAAGTATTCAAATGGCCCTTGGGCATAAAGAATGAGAAAGGCCCCCCAAGGGTATTAACAATACCATATGCATTTTGTTTCAGGTCCGTAAACACACAGCAATGAATTACTAAACCATTAAATATTATGTTGCACAATGAAAATTTTCAGTCTCTGCCCTCACCTAGTGAGGCAACAAACAAGCATGCATGCATGCTTGCATACACACACACACACCCCAGCCCCCTCCAGTCAAACAAACAGGAGTCAATGAATTTGTATTATTACATGTTGGATTCAAGGAAGAACATTAGTTTATACAATAGAAAGATACCTTTTTCCCTTCTCTTTTTTTCTGTATTATTTTCCCTGACAGATGTATAGATAATTTTTGCTTTTCTCAATCAAAGAACTTAATTATTTCCCAGAGCATTGAATTACTACAGTGAAATCTCAGAATAAAGTACATCATAAAATCATTTTATTTATACTTTATATTGAAAACACGATTTTAACTAATATCTTTTAAATAGTTTGGACAATAAACAAAAATATTGAAAAAAATACCTATCATTCATTAAAATATTCCCAGATGGAAGTTTCTATCGTGTCTTTGAGCAAGTAGCTTTCCACAAACTTTCCTATCTCAAATGATGATTTGAGAACTGCCTCTGGAATATTTATATTTTTCTGCACACATACTTTTAACTTCTCAAGACACTTCACTGCTTCTGTTGAAGATACTGTTTCAAACTTTTCTTCTTTTTCTTATTAATTATTTTCTTGTGATGTAGTCGAAGATTCAATAATGTCACTCTCTGTAAGGCAGTAATTTGTTTCAATCCCAGCATCGATGTTGACATAATCCACAAATGTAAGAGCTGATAGAAGTTTGCAAGTCGCAATTTGTTCCCATACCTCACAATGATTTACATAAGCCTCAATCAAGGTGAAATAGTCTTGGAAATGCAAAATTCCTGACTTTCTCAACAATTGGCAATTGTTGTTCCTTTCACATTCTACCAACCTCTGCTAACATTTGTTTTCTTAGCAGGATGTTGATTTTGATAGAAACTATCAATCTAAGGTTGATTAGAATCCGCTGAACCAGTCGTTTACAGAAGTAGGCCTTTGCGTTCAGAATAATTCCCTTGTCTATTGGCTGCAGTACAGAAGTACAGTTGGGAGGGAGGAATTCAATATTGATTTTTTCCAATCTGCAGTTTACTTTATGCGCAGAGCAATTATCTACTAATAACATGATTTTCTTTTTCTGTTTTTTATTATTAGGAAAAATTGAATAAATCCAGTAGCTAAATATAGGAAAAAAATCCTCTAACACATGGTGTAGCCAGAAACCATGTTTTAAGGGTCATACCGTAAATTTGAAATCCTTGATATCGAAATGGGCTATTGAAAATGTATATATTTGGATTCCATGCTCACCACACTTCAACCCACTTGTAGTAATTTCACAATGGCATCTCTATACTTCAGTAAAAACTCAAGTTTTTCCATTGCGTTAAAACAAAATATTTACTACAAATGGATTAAATTACAAATGAATTGAAGCTAGTGACATTTGTTACGTTGTTTATGTCTCAAATTTGTTCAAGTACTAAATTATTTTTGTATTTAAAGAATGTAATGCGGTAGCTCCAAAACATTATTTGTCAGGTACCACATTTTTACAAATAGTCAAGTGATTAATTTTAAAACTATTTAAAAATTAATTGTTTGAAGTGATGATAAAATAAAACATTTTCATAAGGTAATGAATTCATTCTTTCGATTGCTTTCATAATGGGATATATTGGATGGCATTTATTTGTGAAATTATCCTTTGAGTGCTATGATGTACTGGAAATTAAAAAAATGTTTATAATAATTTTCGTTCGTTTACTGTTTGATTTATTTTTCCACAAAACTAATGTACAAATTTGGCAGCACAGATGAAACATTGAAATAATAATATGTATTCGAACCGAGCATGTGTTCAATAAAGAAAGCCTTAGAAGAACTTTCTTAAAACAACAACAATGCAAACTGAAAAAACAGTTCTAGTTAAGGCAAAAATGGTGCTTTCATCATGAGAATCAGTAAGAAAATGTGCTCTTTGTTGGCAGCGGACATCGCTACAAGGGTGCTTTGTTGTCAGCACTCACTGATGTGTTTTATAGGCAGAAATGAGATATTTTATTACATAACTGTTACTAAGGGGCAAGAAAGTATGTGATCTTTTGGCACCAGTAGTTTCTTGTACCATAGGTCCAGAAACAGGAACCTCTAGGCTAGTGCCCTAATTTCCTTCAACCACGTGTCTACTGCCTCTTCCACTTTATGAAATCCCCTAAATAATTTATCTATAGAGACATATTGCCGATTGTTTATACAATTTTACTGTTTTTTTTAATCGTTGAAATTGAAGTTGACTTCGTGCCATAGGTACATGCTACATCAACCTGCTTCATTCCACTATCAATTTTTTCCCACTATCTAACTCCACTTTCTGTTCTATCATGAACTGTCTCCTTTCCGTTCTTTCTATTACAATTAAATCAGGTCATACATTTTTTTGAATGCCACTGCAAACAACAACAAAATGTACTTAGAGAACAGTAACAACCACAACACATGTATTTGCATCCAAAGCGTTTGCTACCATTAACACGACATGAAATGAATTTCATGAAGATCAAATTATTTAAAATTGACAAAGTTGGGTTCTTCCATTTCATGATTCAGAAATAATTACTACTGCTTACTCCTATTGTAATTATGACAAATTAGGTCTTGTCTTCAAGAATTCAATTGTCATGTGGTATCGATACATTATCCAATGCACACGTTGCTCAAAGGGCATAGCATTAAAAGAAATATTATGAAATACATATTCCAAAAAATCTAAAGACATCTGATTCAAAAAAAAATATTTTTTTTAATCCACACACTTACATCATAATACTGAAACGAGTCCAAGTAGAAAGACCGTAAAAGTGAAATATCTTTACATTGTAACATGGACATTTAAACGGGGATTTGAAATATTTTATATTATTTTATTTTATTCATGGGACATGCCCTTGATATATTGGGTTGAGTTTTAGGTTTCAGTTTATATGAGAGTAAGGATTCAAACAGCTTCAGTATGACACTTAAAATCGAGATGGGGTGATAGTACAAATAAGCACATAACTGGAAAGTGTGTAATACTGAAGTCTGTTATACTGAGGTTTCTATGTAATTCAAAAACATTTCACAACAGTTGTAGAACACCAAGTTCTTCCCAGGCAGTAAATGTTTTTCGTGTGCGATTTTTGTGGCAGTTTCTGAAAGAGTTGAGCTATGGTGAAAATCACATCACTCTGTGAATTATGTTCTTCAGAAGAGTTCAGTCAGAAGAGCTGAACGCCAATATATCACGTGTCCCATTGGTGCCTGCTCTTAGAGGTAAGGGATAGTTTCCAGAAGTAATTTACATACATAGTTTTAATGTCATCTGTAAAAATATTGGAAGAATTAATGAAAATAGTGTTGAAAATTAGGTGTAAATATGTATGCAAGTGAATTAAGTCAACAAATAGATGTAAATAGTCGAGACCAAATTCCAAACTACATTGTTCAATTTTGTCACTTTTAAACATATAATAGACTAAATTTTGATCAAATAATTATGAGCTCACTCACTCACACACAAATATTCAAAATAAAGTTTTGAAGAGTACTTTTTTGCATTGCAGCATTTGAAACTCATTGATTTCAAGCAAACAATCTCCAGTTGGCAGAACGCCGAAAGTAATACGGAGTTCCATAGCCTGAGCACAAGTTGGGCAACATTTGTGCATTAAATGCAGATCTTTTCTGTGTTACATATAAACCCTCCACCCCCCAATTTAGTTTAGCATCAACAAATCCCAAATAACCAGTCAGATTTGTAAATCAATGAATAAAAAATTGCCTCTGCAATATAATTCCTGTTAGATATAAAAAAATTTTCCACTGTTGGTGAATTATTCATCACTAATTTTTTCATTAGCAATATTTAGATATTCTAAATAAAGTCTTCACACACTTCACAACAAATAAATTACATACGGCAGAACCCCTATTAACATCATCTCCATGGGGCCTAAAATTCTTACATTAAATGGGGTTTACACTAAATGGAGGTTTAGGGTATTCTTTTAAGAAACAAGTTGATATTAACCAAGAACTATCTATTTTAAAAACACTTCATTTTTATTACAGGGGTTGTCCATAAATGACATAACGCTAAAGAGGGTTTGAGGCAGTGTTACAAAGGGGTAGAGGTCATTGTTTAGTGTTATGTAATACTTTATTCGGGCTTGAACTAAAACATTAAAATATTACAAAATTAAATTAAAAAATTGAATAAATTAAAAAGTTATGTAGTACTAATTGTTGTAATAAAAGAAAATATTTTTTCATGGACTTTTTTCACTGAATCTGTTAATTACGAAGATTTTTTTTTTTTTAAATTTCCAATTAAATAGACTGTAGATTGTGGTCTACACATCATCCATGACTATTACATGTTCAGTGAGTATTTTCAGATATGTTCTTGTCTAAGCATCCTTCCTTCAAAAATTGTCCCCAATCTTATTGTACAATGCCATGTTCATATAGCCAACTAATTCTGATTTCAACATTAAATTTAATATGTAATACAAATAAAATTTATACAATTCATTTCTACAGTATGTATAATGTATTTTTATTTATTGTAAAATGCAGGGGAGGATCTTCTCGCATGCATTGTGCAATTATTTTCGGGTGATTCAAGTGCTTGTTACAGATGCGTTATAGGAGGAAGGACGCATTCAAAATACTGTAAATTGGCATTACGAAATTTATGGACAGCCCCAAACATAATTAAATTATACCATACAAGATGTACATGTAAGCTTCCGCAGCTCGAATCCATAAATTCTCGGCTATCCGGGAGACGCCGCGTCGTTGGGAGGCTGATGTTTCGCCTGACATGTCGCAGGCTTCCTCAGGGCAGTCACTTATACCATACAAGATCTATCTGCGAGTGTGAATTAACACTGTTGGGGGCACTCCTGTATATTACAATCTGATGCAGAGCAGCAAACTTAGTCTAACATCACCATAATTCAGATGTAATTGCAGCTATTAACGGTTTTGTACACTACAGTTGGCAGCATTGCAACGACAGATGGCGTCGGATGACGCATTTAGGAACGGTTCCAATTCATGTATTTGTGGGAGGGGGGGGG